GAGAAAGTACAGTACAGCACCAGCTGGAGCACGACCAGTTACCGTGTGTGCAGCAGCAGACCCCGGCAGACCTCTGTGGTTCCCGGGCAGCACTCCTCCACCATGGCTTGATGGCAGGTTCAGTGATACTATAGTCTATACCAGCTTTTTTGGATTATTATTTTCTACACTAAACTTCTTCTAACATTTTATTTTAATCCATTGGTGCAGCCTCCCTGGAGACTTTGGTTTTGATCCTCTAGGTCTTGGTAAGTTTAGTCCATAGCACAATAGCCAATTACCTCACAATCACACTAAAAAGGAAGACATTTTTTGGTGTGTATAATTCTTCTGTTGTAGTAATCCTATTTCTACGTTGTATTGGGGTTTTAATCAACAGGATCTGACCCTGAGACCTTGAGATGGAACGTGCAATCAGAGCTTGTGCATTGCAGATGGGCAATGTTGGGGGCTGCTGGAATTTTCATCCCAGAGCTCCTAACAAAGATTGGCATTTTAAACACTCCTTCATGGTACTCAGCTGGAACAGAGGAGTACTTCACTGACACCACAACCCTCTTCATAGTTGAGCTTCTTTTCATCGGCTGGGCAGAAGGGAGAAGATGGGCTGACATCCTCAAACCAGGCTGTGTAAACACCGACCCCATCTTCCCTGACAACAAGCTCACCGGGACTGATGTTGGGTACCCAGGTGGCCTGTGGTTTGATCCTCTTGGCTGGGGAAGTGGTTCTCCAGAGAAGATCAAGGAGTTAAGAACAAAAGAGATCAAGAATGGTAGACTGGCTATGTTGGCTGTGATGGGTGCATGGTTCCAACACATCTACACTGGTACTGGACCTATTGACAACCTATTTGCCCACCTTGCCGATCCTGGCCATGCTAACATTTTTGCTGTAAGTGCATATGGATCTTTATGTTTCATTATCATAGGTGCTCCATATGCTCACGTTAAAAACTATCATAAAATTAAACTTGTTAGTTAAAATTCTACAGATACAAAATGAAAACCAACAATTCATATATGTTGACTTGCAATCATATGTGTTTTAGTAACACCAAAACGAGAGCAAGATATGTAATTATGTATCTAGTTGCTAGTTTTGTAGGCTTGGACTAACTGTTCTCATTCTCTATTTCAGGCTTTCACCCCCAAGTGAGAAACAACAAGGGAGAACCGCAACAGCATTTAAGATGCTGGAGAAACATTGATGGTCATATCTTTGCCTAATTAGCAGGGAGATGCAAAGATGTCTACTTTTGTGGGGAATGCTTTTATCAGTAGAAATTTGTATTGCCTCTGTTTGTCTTCTATAGATGCTCAAGTGATGTACAAATACCTCTGTGAAGTTAGATGCCATGAATATTTATTCAGTTTAATTGACTATGGTCCAACCTTTTTCTGTGAGAACAAACAAAAGAAATCCTGAAAACTGTTAATCATAACTCAAAAGCCTGAAAATTTAATGTTGCACAAGCCATAGATCAAAGCTAATTGCCCAAAGATCAATCTAGTCATTTGCAATTACCGATGTTTGCTTCTACTCAGTCACCGAAGAGGGTAGCAAAGACTTGTTATATATGAAATTTCATAGCTAGAAAGAAAGAGAAAATTTTATATAATATTAAACCGTATAATTTATAAAAAAAATTTAATTGTGTATTGAAAAATTCAAAAAATGATGTGGTGAAACATATGACAAATAATATGATAAAATATGATATAAAAGACAAACGTGGCGAAATATACGCAAAAGATAAATGTGAAACACGACATAAAAGAATTAATATGCAAATGATGTTATAAAAACATGTGTAAGACAAGAGCAATCGGACGCATGAAGAATGTGAAACAAAGATTGCTAACAAGGTGACTCTAATACCATGTTATAAGAATATAAAACTGTATAGGTTACATAGAAATCTAAATTGTATATTGAGAAATCTAAATTATACATGTTACATAAATAAAGATATATATAGAGGGCTAATCCAAATCTTACCAAGTCTAACCAACTAACTCTATTATAGTATAATACTAATAAGATATTGTAGTGAAACTAAATAATAGTATTATATAATAATTCTAACTAAATAATCTGTATAACTATCTTACCATGCATTATGAATGATGAATTACTTTCATTCTGCTCTCCATCGCCTGCAACGGCTAAATGAGAAATTTCAGGCTGCATGGTTCTTAGATGTATGATAACCTTATTCTGGGTTAACAGTAAGTTGTGTTCCTGCCGAAATGACGTTATTGAAGTTTGATAAATGGTCACGTGGGTCTCCTCCAAATGAAGATACATCGAAATCTTGAATAAGTAATTTGTCTTTAGACGATGATCAGTTAATTGTGATCCTACCAAACCTCGAAGGTGATGCAACTTGTCCATAGAAGAATGGTGGCAGCCTTTTTAGTCATTGCAAAGAACTAGAATAACGATGCTTAACGTGGTGCCGTCGGGAGTGGCAATTGACCAACGTGGTGCATGTGCTAATTCATATGTTGGCAACTCTGACCGACTGACCTAGTCCCCAAGAACTACTGAAGAAACTTGTTACCTGGACTCTGGCTTGACAAGGTCAAAGTCAAGTTCCTGCCCTTTCAACATTACTTTTGGAAACGTTTTCAGGGAACAAATATAACGAAAGAGAAAACAAACTTCTCATTTCTTCTTAATTTATGTATCCTTTAACCATCTAAGTGATTATAGTGTGGGAAATCACTTGGAATCAGCTGTTTGAATTGAGACCAGCTAGTCCGCATTAGATATAAAGCTGGATAGCAAAAGCCAAAGACAAAAGGAGATTGTAATTATGTTGAGATTTCCATTATTTTATTATCTATACCATAGAAAAAGAACAGTTACTCCTTTCTAAAGCAACAAAGTGCACTTTGGGATGCCATATTAAACAATTCAATGTGTGCCGCCCTGCCATTAGAAAATACCAACAAAAGCTTTGCTCATCTGATTGCCGAAATGCCTCTGGATTGTTCAGCCGAAACTCAACAAATTGGGGTGGCTGCACCAGATTTGTTTCTCATCTTTTTACTACATTTTTGTGTTTCTTTCACCCCCCATGGAGGCTACACCAAACGCTACAAGCATCAAATGCATTGAAGTACATCACCTGACGTTAGCTCAGACTCTTAACTGTTTCCAATGCAGTCTTCTCATAACGTCATTAACATTCCCAAAAGAGAAACAATTTCAAATGTTTGTTAGATGCTTTTAAGAGACCAGATTTCTTATATTCCTGGGATTCTTGCCCAATAATGTACATCTTTACAGCTATGAAATCCCCCAATGCATTCACTGGGGGATTCCCCTTTTAAAATGAATTAAGCAACGAAATTACAACATAACAATCTCTTCATTACAAGCAGGGAAAATGTTAAAAGTATTAATAAGAGTCATTAAGAGATTACAACTTACTAACTTCTCCATCTCTCTCTTTTCCACTATTATATGACATAATTAAATTTCAAAAGAAAAAAATATAAAAATACAAGACGGACTTTTGAGGCTGTCATGGTTCATGACAAGCCGAAACTCGGTTTATTAGGAGCTCCGGTTCTTTGGAGGACGTACAGAAATCTGGACAGGAATGGGCCGGCCCGTACCTGACCCACCGCAACTGCTGCACACCCTGCGACCCGACCCGGCGCATGTCCCACAACCGACATCTCCATCGGACCAACGCGAACAAATGCACGTGACACGACCCGTGCCGTTGCAAGTCGGGCATCTCTGAAAGGGGCCGGCCATGGGCTTCTGTTCCATGACCGATTTGACTAACACCGCTCCGGCCAAGACACTCAAGCCGGTCGCAACCTGAGTCAAAACGATCGGACCCATGTCGTTTAAGATGGAATCCGAATCTTTCGCTACGAATGGAGCGGAGAGAAGAAACAGAAAAGGCGGGCAGCCAAGAGAGAGAGAAATATGAGAGAAACGATTGAGATCCTTTTCGGAGCAATTAAAAGGTGTAGTTGATTTTAGTGTTTTTTATTTTTTGGGGTCTGAATATAAATAAAAAAAGTGGCCACGGTATTGTACACGTAGAAGCGTGAGTGTTTGGTGGTGTTGGGGGTGCTGGACCTTGGACTGTAGCCGAGATGCTTTTCTTCTTCCTACATCCTTTCTTGACCCTTGGATGCGGGCGACGTTGCTTATTTCTCTTCTCTTCTTTTGTGTTGATAATTTCATTAAGTCCCCAGACTCTTATGAAAGAGTAATTGTTTCTTTTTGCAGCGTGGGGGGTTTTTTCTTTTGGTCGCAATTTGTTGTTTGCACGTGTTGTCCTACACTGGATAAGGACCCCCGGCCTACGTCTCTCCATATTCATTTTTACTGGAAACAAAAAAAATATATATATTTCAGTTCATTCTTTTTTAGAGGTGCTTAATATAATTATTTTAACATTTCTTTTTAGAAGGTAGGAGTACAATTCTAGTATAATTAATATTTTTTATTATTCTTTTACATCTAAATATTTAATTTATTGATTGTTGTATAATTTTAATTAAAATGTGTCTCAAATATAAATCACTAACAATATATAATTTCTATACGTTACCAGTTCAACAAATTGTACCATCTTATCAATAAAGTAAAATAAAAAATTTTTAAATTTAAAATTAAATATTAAAAAGTTTATAATAATTAATTAAATAAAAAATAAAAAATTTTCACTATTTTATTTCTCTTCATCCTTCTTTTTCTTGTTTTCTTTTCTTAATCTTTCTCCAACCATAACATTATCTTCTTCTTCCATTAAAATTAAGTTTTACAAAATTTGATAACATAAAAAGTAATTTTTATATATTTTTTTTATTTTCTTAAAATTAAGATTGAACATCGATTGCAACCAAGCAATCAACAATAGCTGTTAATTATTTTAACCGACGGTTGCAATTGACAGTTGCAACAGCAACCGTTGGTGTGCCTATAAGTTCTATCGTCGAGGGACTCCCTTTCCTCCGAATTGATTGATAAACAACAAGCATTTTTTTTTAATTTTGAAGGTAAAGACTATCCTACCCTTCATTAACCCCCTTAAACCAGCGACCAAGTTTCCCCTTCCGGTCCCCCTCAACCGAAACCCCAAATTTTCACTTTTCCTCTCCTACTAAACCCTAACTCAACTTATTGACTCACCTATTCATAGTCCACCCCTTTGTTGTCGCTGGTGTCACTCCAATTTGTTGTCAGCTACCTATTCTAGCAAGGTAGACCATAGATTTTTTTTTTTACTACTGGTCTTGTGAAAATAGTAAAAGAGATAAAGCTTGATAAATTATGAATATTATATTTTTTTGGGTTAAAATTCATGTTATAGAAAAAATATGTTAGAGATTATGAGTATTATATGTTATTTTTTGCTTGTAAAAAATAATATTAGTGTAAATGAAAATAATTCCCGAGGCTTAGAAAAATGATAGATTTGATTTTTAGTTTTTGAGAATTAAATTTTTTTCCCAACCATAGATTATTTCAATTTTAATTGACATTAAATATTTCAAAGAGTTTAATGTTTAGAATTATTATTTAGATAATTAATTAAAATGATTTGATGCTAGCATTAAACATTAAGAATTATGTTTGAAAATTAATATTTAGAATTATTGTTTAGATTTTTAATTAAAATGATTGATGATATGTTAAAATAATTATTTATAAGGGGTTATACAAAAACTATTTACAAATAAATAAATAGACCTAAAATAATTATTTATAAGGGGTTATATAAAAAAGCCCAAGCCCAACAAAAAATAAGGAGCCATTTATAAAGGGTTGAAAAAAAAAAAAACCCAAATCAGTCCAAGTCAACGAAAAGCAACTCAAGTCAACTCACTTTAAAAACTAATCCAAAATCGATCAAGTGGAAACCTGTTAAAATCGAACTCTTACACGGTTCATCTCAGGTAGTTTCAAAGGTAAATTTTTTGATTGATTTTAGGAAAAATTGAATTGAAAATTGAAAAAACTAAACCATGCTTTCCCCTGTCTGAAACCTTCGAAAGAGAGGTGGAGGAAACAAAATTCAAATAAACAAGTGTTATTATCAGAATCTTACAAGTCAACAATTTTGCTTTTAAATAACAAGCTTAAGCTGAAAATTGTTCTTTTTTCATGGGCATTACGATTTTTTTTTTCATTGAATACAGTCATAAAACTCTAAATTCCTATCAAAACCAAAATTCTTTTGAGGTGTTACTTAACCATTTTTGTAAAATCTAAAATGCTAATAAGTTTAAATTTGAGATGTTAAATCAAATTGCATGCTTTTTGGTATTTGAACCAAAATTATTATTAAGGATATGTTACATAATCGTTTTAATTTTTAACTAAATCCCACATTTTCAAGATTTTAAATGAAGATCAGTTAATTTTTAGATGAAATGTTACTAACCATTTTAAAAAAGGCTTCAAAATCAACATATTTGAGCGAAAGTGAATTTCTCTTTGTAACACGATGACAAACAGAGGTGGGACATGGCTTTTACGAAAAAAAAAATTTTTGGCTTAATCATATTACTTAGAAACAAAATTATTGACTAAGGAAAAGAAAATTTTTTTGCTTAATCATGTTACTTAGAAGCAAAATTATTGTCTCAATAAAATTCTACTAATAAGTTGATTTATTTGAATCTTGTTTCCTCTGTCTTCTTTTTTGAAAAGTATGCTTTCTCAATCTCTCTTAGGGTTTCAAAAAAAATAAGAAAATAATATAAAAATTACTCTTGAAGTTACACAATTTTGCAAAATCTAACTCTAATAGAAAATGAAGATGATGGAGTTGGAGAGAGAAGGAAAACAAGAAAAAGAACGGTTGAGATATAGAAAAGTGAAAATATTTTATTTTTTGTTTAATTAGTTATTATAAACTTTTTAATATTTAATTTTAAGTCTCTAAAGTTTTTTATTTTATTTCATTAATGAGGTGGCATATTTTGGTGAACTAATAATGTATAGAAGCTATACACCGATAGTGCATCAAATATACACCTCAAATATAAATCCTTAGTTAATTGGTTGTTCCATGATTTTCTTACTTAGTAGGAAATACTAAATTTTAAAATGATCCAAAATCTTTAAATATATAATCATCTTGTATATTGCTAATGATTTAAAAAATATTTATATCTTATATAAATTTTAAAATGATTTAAACAACTAAATCAAACTTGAAAGGTTCGAAATTGAAATAGTTTGAATTTAAAATGGCCTTAACTTGAGACTCGTCTTGAATTCAAAATGATTTGAATGTACTGATTGACTCATTTACTAAGTGCTTATTTGACCTAATTTATTTTTAACTTATCTACTTTTTAAAAGTAGAAATTGAGTTATATAGTATTTTATGAGAAGCTTTTAAAAAAAAATAGATTTCTTTTAAAGAACAAAATTAAAAAAATAAAACTTAAAAAAGCCTCCAAATAAGAGCTTTCTCTTACTTTTTTTTTATTAAAAAAAACACATCAACTTCTTAAGAGAGTTATTTTTCTTCCAAAAAGATCATTTCTCAAAAAAATCTCCTCCCTTTTCCCTATGATCTCCCTTTTCTCTTCCCTTTTCTGCAAATCATCCTTCTTGGGGGGTTTTTTTTTTTACAAAAATTAAGAAAAAAGAAAACTTAAAATTCAAAATTGTATTTAAGTATTATTTCTTCTTTTTCTTTTTACTTTGTTTTTCATTTTATTTTCTATCGTTCATTTTGTTTGCTTTGAAAACTTTCTTTATTGTTTGATATTTCTCAATTTATTATTTGATATGACAATTATATGATATTTATTTATTTTTAACTTCTTTTTGGTGTATAAAATATTTGTTGATTATGATTGAAATAACTAGTCAAATAAGACAATGATTATTGACATAAATTAGATGAAATTGAAAAGTTAATATTTGTATTTGTTTGTGGTAACTCAATTTTAAAGATTTTTTTTTAGGTATAACAATATGCTACACTACAAGAAAATTGAAGTAAACTTTAATTCTTAGCAATGAATTTCACATTTGAACTAACAGTATCTAATAGATGATGTGGCACTTTGTGACAAAATAAATAACTCATTAAAAAATAAGAAAAAAAAAAGCCGAAACTTTTTTGTTCATGAAGGGAAACTTTGTTAGTGAGGACATTAAGACCTTGATAGATTTGCATGAAATTAGGAAAATGGGTTGCCAAATAAATGGTTGAACGTGATTTTCCTGACCTAGTTAGATCTATTATTAATATCACCTTGAGTTCTTTTCTTTATATGTAACTTCAATTTTGTTCAACTCCAAAAGTCATAACTTTCAAGCCCATTTTTAAAAAATAACAACAAATATTTTTTTATATTTTTCTTTTATCTTTAAGCAGTTCATAATACTATAGGGAAAACTATATTTTTTTCACATTCTATCTTTTTTTTTTGTTTGATTCAATTTTTTTCTGATTTATTAAATACTTTTTATAGTAATTTTAATCAAAATTAAAGTTAATATAAGTTGTGTTACCAAACAACTTATCTTAAAAAAAGAGCTTATAAAAAATAAATTTATCAAATAGCTTTAGTTTAATTTAAAAATTATTATTTTTCATAAAACCTTTATCATAACTTTTAAGTTAAAAAAAAGCCAAGCCAAACATACTCTAAAAAAAAGTTTGAATTCAAAATGTATTGCTCAGACAGCAAATAAACCGGAAAGAAATGAAAAACTTGTAAGAATACACATCTTATTCCACTTTGTTTAATCTGGCTGCCAAACTTTGTTTGATCTGTCTTCAAGCTCTTATTTTGTATTTTGTTAAAATTAATCATTGCCAATCAACCTTCTTTTGGTCATTGTTGTTATGATTTTAAAAGGAAAAAGCGATATTGAAACTCACAAAATAAACATAATATTGTTTCTCAACTCCATGAAAATTGGAAAGATTAGGGAAAAATAGGTAGGAAGAAATTGATTTGATGAAAATTGGAAAGGTTCTGGTCCGAAAGGGCGTGGGTTCAAATCACACTCTCCACATAACCTGATATAGCGTTCCCTACACTCAAACTACTTATCGGATCAAACCAAGCATTTTCTTGTTGAAATATTAAATTTTAAATTTTAAATGCAGAGTTCAAAATCAGGCATCACTTGGACTGAAGATGCCTTGCATTGACAAGTTGAAATATTAAACTGAACAGAGGAAACAAAAAAAGAGAGTCACATAATCCAAAAAAATCTTTCTTTTTCTTATCTAGCTTAAAACAAAATTAAAAGACTTGTCTGATATTGATGTTGATCCTTGAAGTTCTTATGTATTCTAAATAACAATGATCATCAATATGCAAAAACTGCAATTCAAGTGGAGTGATTTCAGCATTTTCTTCATCTGTGAATATGCGAGGCACACCTGCAAGAATGAAAATCAATGGAGTTTTTTAATAGGTTATTAAAGATGCTTGAAGAGAAAACAATCAAAATCACATAAATGGATAAAGTTCATAAATTGCCCTCTACTATGAACTGCTCATGTTAAGAGCTTTTATAGGTAAAAATTGTAGCTGATATTCCTTGTTACCAGTATATATCTGTAGCTTACTTGCTATTTAAAGATTCCACTGATCATCTAGTATAAGCAGCCAAACAAATATCTTAGTTGCGTATTTGTCTCTCCCATTGGTATCTGTAGCAAAAAAGAAGCACAGAATGCACTTCTAGAATGCAAACACTAAGTATACCTAGAACAATTTTCATTGCATTGTTGAATTGCTATTTATGAGTAGATTGACTTTATAATCCAGTTCAAGTCCAGAGCAAATTTCAAAATTTTACCATTACTAATAGTCCATAACGAAGGAAATGAGTGAAACGTGAAATCTCACCATGAAAGCATTCCCTTGCCTCTCCTGCCATGAGTACAACATCGCCACTTCGGAGAAACATAGCTAACGGTTCATCCTGTCTAGACTTTCCTCCCAGAAGGAAAATAGCTTTGCAGCCCAAACTGAGAGGGAACATAAAGTCAACAATCAAGAGGATGCTTACTAGAAGCCACACCACCTCCCTCTCTCTCCTCTCACTTTCATCCTTCTCATTTGGAGGGAATAAATAAATCAGGAAAAAGCAAGTTACCTCATGCTTACAATAGGTTTACTCCAATCTGCTTCCATGTCATCCAGGTGACCACCAAGTGCATCGCCTGGAAAAAGAAAAAAGAGTTTAACAATCAGTGAGGACTTTTGTCCAACAGGTGACATTGTCAATAATCACTAAGTTTCAATAAATCCATAGTTAAAACCACAACACTCAATTTATTTCAATGTAAAAGAGACAAGTTCAACCAAAATTGTAATTTACAATTATGCAAAGCGTTAGAAGATACTTTATTCACTTTGCTCCTAAAGTAACCAAACTCTAAAAAATTTGCCAACAACTTGAGAACATTTACAAAATAAAATGAAATCTGAGATTTATCAGTATGCAACTATTTATATCCTATGAGTACCTAACCCAAAATAGTTGACAATTGCAGCTTCGGGCCGGAATTCTTCTCCAATAGGCATTGCAGGCTCAGCCATTCTTTTAGCTAGCTGACAGAGTGCATCAGGAATTTTGTTATGTGGTAGAGACACATCATAGTTCCGCTGCACCATGAACAAATTTAATTTAGAAATCAATCTGAAACAAGGAACCTACTTTCAATCTCAAAAAAAAAAAAAAAAAATGGGCCACATTTCTCAGGGTTAAGACACCAGGAGCATGATCAGAACATTGCCAATCTTGAATGATACCTTATGATACTTTAAAATAGGTAACAAGGAAAAACGTTTCTGTGCAATAAATGTTGAAAATGATCATTATGTTACAGAACTAGGAACCCACAACTAAATCTAATTCAACCAACTACGTCTAATTGAAGAACCTTCAAATTCTATCCACTGGCTGTCCGATCAATATCATCTTCTCTAACTTATACAGTCAAGAAACTCGCCAAAAGAGATACAAGGAAGAAGGCCCAAGACTAAATAAGTGAATACCTACCTTGGACCAGTCAAATTGTAGGCCAAGGGTACTCCACCGTAACTTTCGCAGCAAAACAGAAGCAGAAACTGATTTGCAACTCTTTGCCCTAGATCGAGCAATGTCTTCCTCGTAAAATTTCCACCTATGAGCATCCCCATTGCTGACGGAAGCACTTGATTCAGAATCGAAACAATTGTCCGATCCTTCCTCCTCAACAAGTAGTTTACCTTCCTTTGCCGCAACGAACAGGTTCCTTATTGGCCCATAAATGGCATTATGATTTGTTCTGTTGGGAGGCTGCGGAAAGTTCCTTAAACTTTCCCTTATCCATCGACATTGTTCCTCCACGGTCAATGCCCCGGGAATAAAATAGAACCCTATATTTTAGAGTAATTCATCGAAAAAGAAAAAAAATTCAAATTTCTTCTCTAGTTTGGAACTCATTAAAAGTTCACGAACCCAAAAAAAAATAAAAATACCAGGGCGATCTTCCAAGCGAAAAACTGGACGATTAAATCCACAATTGACAGCTACAATTCCTGGAGGAAGTTCACCTTTCTGATTGTAGGACTCTGAAATGGATTTCGGATCCAAAACCTCTGATAAATCGACTTGCTTAGGTTGCTTCTTCCTGAGAAGTTCAAATAAAATCATAAACAAGAACAAAAAGCATTTTTTTTCTTTTTTCCAATTAAAGTTAACTAAATTTGAGATAGAAGCTGAAAAGTGAGGTACTTTTTGGAGGATTTGGAATGCTCCACGTAGTAAAGCTTGTATTTCTTCTCTGCTTTCCTGAAAGCGGTCCGTTCCGCATTGTCAGCGGCTCCGTCGGATCCGTACATCTATCCTGAGCCGGTGAGTTAACTCAGAGCCACTCGAAGTAAACCCCTGATGATTCAAGATTAGGGTTTTAACTAGGATTTCACAACCGATTTTATTTTATTTTACCCCAAAAGATTTAAGATCAGATCAGGTGCTCTTGGGACTACTGGAAGTTAGTTATGTAGTTCAGGGGACATCCTCCGTTTTAGTGACTTATCTTCCCTGATGGCGTCAAAGTGGTTCGGGCACTCAACTCTCTTCATTTCCTCAAAGTTGAAAAGACAATTAACCCTGAGCAATGGGGTCCTAATGGAGGGCAATTACGTAAAGTTGAGGTGGCTGGATCATGAGGGCCCGGTTACGCGAAAATTGGGGGCGCCTATAACAAACCAACCACTGACAGGGAAAAAATCTCGTTAATTTAAGGGGCGGTGTCCAGATCTATAAATAACGCTAGAAAAGGAATTAACCGGAAGAAAGAAAAAGGATCAGAAATGGCGTGCAGGACGGTATTGCGTTCCATTTTCGTAACGGAGCCGTGGAGGCCTCTGCATCGAAACGGGAATCTCCATTCTCTTAAAACGATGAGGAGCTTCGGAATTTCTGCTGCGAAAAGACGGAGCTGCGGATGTCACGGGATGGTTGTTAGGGCTCGAGATTTTCATTTTTGGAAACGGACTCAGAAACTGAATTGCTCTCATAATGAAACGCCGTCGTCTTCGACGTCGGAGGAGGATGACCATGATCAAGGCCCACCTCAAGAAGCTGTTCTTAAAGCAATTTCAGGTTCCCTTTTGGAGCAAACTTGTTTTGATTTTCTCTTCTCTCTCTGGGAGTTGTTTGTTGGGAGACATTATAGTATATACATGGTTTGAAGGTAGTTAATGAGTTGCTGAGACATGGATGAATTAAGGATTTTAGATAGATTGATTGTTATACCTGGCTTAATAAAAAAAGGGTTGATGTTGCTTTATTAGTTGAAAAATTAGAACCAAATGCCTAAGAAAATTACATTTGCCGAGGAAATAAGTGATTAGTCAATCCACATTCTGCTTAGCAGCTTCAAAGTCAGAAACTTTTGAGCAATAGTATGAAGGAGCTATTTCCTCTTTGAAGTTAAATAGAAGAATGCTTCTTTAGAAATCTCTCTGGATTATGTATGTGGACATGGTTATTTATCAGTTTACGAATTGGAATTTGATGCTGGCTTGAATCCTTGCATCTTAAATTTTCCTTTCCATCTGTCAGTCATGTCTTTTTCTTCTAGAAGCCTGTAAGATTTTATTGACATAACTTTTGGTTTTGGAATTCAGAGGTTTCAAAGACAGAAGGGAGAGTTGGGCAAACCACAAATGTGGTCATTGGTGGTACAGTAGCAGATGATTCGACTAATGAATGGCTTGCTTTGGATCAGAAGGTAAATCATATGCTCTCCTAATTTCTAATCCTCTCAAGGGGTTTCAGACAATATCCTTTCCATTGCTTTTAAACTAAACCTGAAGTAGTTAAATTCATTTCACTTGGAGATTCCTTTGATTTGGCTGTCTGTGGTACATGCAGCTTGTTAGACTTAAGATGCTGAAGGCTTTGAGATTGTTTTGACTGCTTAATGATTTTTTTAACTTGTCAGGTCAATTCATACCCAACAGTTAGAGGATTTACAGCTATTGGAACTGGAGGTGATGATTTTGTGCAAGCTATGGTTGTTGCAGTGGAATCTGTGATACAACAACCGATTCCTGAGGTATCTAGTCTCATTTTTACTGGTGGAAATCAATTATTGATTGAGATGTTCATTTATTCGTGCATTTGAATATAATAGTAGAGTAAATTTTGAGGTATTAGTTTATAGGTAGATGAACTTAGGTGTTTGTGATAATTAAAGCTATCACTGTTGGAGCGAATGGAAACAATGATATCTCGTCTTGCTAGAATATCTGCGTAGAGCTCTTCTGGACTTCAATTAGTGGTGTTATTATGCATAAGTTATTTTATTGGGAGTATGTGGAAGCATAATATAAGCAAGATTTCAGCTAGACAGACTTCTGTGAACTGTTCATGGATTACTCATTCATTTGCACATTTGAGGCTTTCGTATAACAAGTGATTGCCTACCAGATAAACTGGAACCTTGGGAAGTGCATTCTATTAGCTAAGTATTACATAACAGGTAGTTTTTGACCAAAGAAAGAATTTGGAAAGTTCATAAAACATTGAAGGATTCAATGGGGCTTTTAGGCTCCATTTGTTTGATTTGAAATGGATTTTTAGACATCCATTTCCTCATTTTCTGATGTTTGGTTGTCAGAAATTGCCTTGGTCAAAGGAAGATGTCTTCCTAGTCAAAGGCAAAAAACTCATTTTGGGGGAAATTGTCTTTCATTTTAAGAAGGCAGAAAACAATTTCTGAAGTTAACAACAGAAAAACCCAAACACCCTAAACGTTTCACTCTCTTAGCTCATTCGCCAAACGAGCTGAAACCACCGCCTCCTTCCCCTTCATCAGTGAGAGCTTCTCCCTTTTCCTTCCTTTCCTCTTCTCCCTTCCCTCTTATCTGCTCTTTCCACAGCCTGCAACCTCCTTCCCTCCATCCTCTTTATCTCAGCCAGAAAGCTTACTTCCTCTTTCCCTCTCCCTTGTATTCTTCTATTACCCTTCTCATTCTCTTTCTATAGATCGATGAGACCCATTTTGAATCCCATCTCGGAAAGTCACAGCTGTGAGTTACGACCCATATTGAGACACCTATTCTTATGTTGTGCTGCTGATCAGTCCTCTGCCATCAAGCTCAAAATTGCAAGCCATCGCTTCATTCCTCTACTGCCAAGAACTGATTCTCTTCTTTTTTTTTTTTTAAGAATCTGATGTCCAATGTTAATTTATGTGGATATTTTGAGTGGGTTATTATTCATTAACCTCTGACTTTTAGATTTTTGCATGAGTTTCATTGATTTGTCAGGGGAATTTTTTATTTGGTTAAGTTGATGATACTAAAATTGGTATCATTCAAGTTTTTAAGATCTTGATAATCTTTGTCTCATGGTGAAGAGCCTTTAATTACTCTTAGTCCAGCAAATTTTAATTTACATGTTTTTATTTGGATGACAAATTTGTTGACATTTTGTAATTTGATAACTTGGCTAATAAGACAAGGAGTTTGGGGGTATTTCGGGTTAGAGAGAGGTTTAAACAGGGAGATGAAAGAAAGAGAAGAGAAAAGGAGAAAGAAAATGTTGGGTTTTTTTATTTGAAACAAACACCAGAAAATGATTTTTTTGTTGTAACCATCCAAACAATGGAAAATGGAACGTTTTCTAGAATTATCTTGGCACAGGAGTATTCTAAAATGTATCTAATACTTTATCTTAAAATGTTTTCCTTTATGTTTACTGTTTTACTATAATTATTAGTTTGGTATCATATTTTTGTTTTATTAAGTGAGCATGTGATTAGCATGTGATCTTTTAATTAGTTTGAATGGCTTGGATTAGCTGGGGCTTACTTATATCCAAGGACTAAGATTAAAAGATGCAGTAACGCTAGTATAAATAGTCTCTTTAAACCCGTTAGGCGGCTTTGTTATTTTGGATTATTTTTCTGACAGATGTTCTGCAATTGTAAACCTAGTATCTTGTTCCTACTGCTATTTTACATCAATTCTAATCTTCGCTCTGGTTTTCTTTACTGTTTTGGTTTTCTTTTTATTGTTTCTACTTCCACACAACATCATATCTTCTAGGAAAATTTTTTATTTTCTAGAAGTTGTTTTTGATTAAACAAACATAGCCGTAGAAACCTTCAGTTAAGATTAAATCAGCAACCAATGAAAATTGAGTATAAACTCATGGTCCTGTGGAACATCTGGGTGGTAGAGAGTAACTGCCAGCATAAGTTTGTTAAAATAAATGACTGTTGTGGGTCTTTTGTGAGGTGTTTGAATAAATGCTAAATAATTTTTGTCAGGAAGAATAGATTTGTTTAGACTAGGACTAAAGACATGTAGATTTGGCATTCGTCCTACTTTAAGTGTTGGATCTCCTGTCTTGGTTAAGGAGTTCAAGGGAAGAAACAAGCTAAAAGTACAATCAATCATGATGACTAGTTTGAATTCTTTTTATTCCTTTCATGGAAAGATTTTGCCTTTGGAAATGACTTAAGATCACTATTAAAATACAAGTTACTCTTTCGATTTTTCAGCTTTCTGCTTCTTTATCAAGAAGTTGTATTATTTCATCCATGGAAACAAAAATGCCTAACAATATTTCATAACAGGGTCGGGTGAGGCAGAAATTATCATCTAGGGGAAAATATGTATCTGTCAACATTGGTCCTGTTCGAGTTGTTTCTAGTGAACAGGTCCTCTCTCTCTCTCTCTCACACACACACACACACACTGGCATCCACTGACGTGCACAGTCATGCACACACACAAAACCAGATATAAGAATCATTTCCTCTACGTTCATTTTCCTTCTAATATATATAAGATTTGCTTCAAATAACAGAAAGTTGTACTTTGATCGAACTTTGTTCTGCTGTTCAGGTTCAAGCTGTATACAATGCCATGAGGAGAGATGATCGAATGAAATACTTCTTATAATGTGATCCTCATTCTTGTTTTGTGTAGAATGTGATCATGCAGGGCAGTGTGATTGCCCTTTTCTTCTTCCTAGGTAGTGAGTTTATGATCTTTGATTAACCAAAAGGCACACGCATAGGCAAAGGAAACATCATTGAAGTCAATCTTGTATTTGTCTCGTTGGTAATCCATGTCAATCTGTATCTGATGATGTATATGATATTTATTTGTTAATCAGAAATTAGCCAGCAAATAACATATTTCGTTCCCCTCTCCAGGCCATGTACATCCTTTTATTGATGACATAATAAGGTGTTTTTTCCCTTTTGCCATTTGTTCTCTAAATTATGAATTCATGAAAAGATGATTAATCATTCATAATTAAACACCCTTTTATTGATGACAAGAAAGGAATTTAGAGTACATGAATTCATGAAAGGATTTTTAAGCTCTATTCTCTTTGCCATTTATTCTCTAATATTTCGTTAAGTTGCTTTATTCTACCTGCCATTTGTTCTTTAAATTTTCATTAATTTTCCTTGGAGGGATAAGCTAAGGAATGGAATTCCTCTGCCTTCATTTGGTATGCCACTTGGTGTTCTTTTCGTAATTTTGCTCAAGGTGTCCAGTAAACTTCTCATATTGGATTTTAGGGTTTAAGACTTAAGGTTTAAGGTTTGTGGCTTATGGTTTATGATATAGAATTTAGGCTTTAGGGTTTAGAGATTTTGGTTGATAGCATAATATTGGATACGATGCAAAATTATGGAAGAGGCACCAAGTGGGGCACCAAGTAGGGATAGAAGATTTCTATTCCCTATATTTGAGAGTGGTCGAGCGATTCCCTTTAAAAGGTAGCCATTACATCCAAAATTATATGTTGTAAGGGTACTGTCTATTATTCAAGCACGTGGGTGGATAATCTTTCTAGATCTTAACTACTAATTAAAGTTAAAAAGGCTAAATTCTACATTGTTTTTTTTTTAAAGTAAACTCCATGTCAACCTTTTATGGAATAATATATTTTTGCATAACATATTAATTTTCTTTTTTTTTTTCAAATAAAATCTTTTACTTTAGTACCGCTTCTCTGGGCAGTAACAGTGTTAAATGTCACAAAAAAAAAAAAAACTCTCATAAGTTTCTCCAAAAAGACAATAAGACCCTCTATTTAAAAATCATATTTCTTAGATTTGAAATATAAATTCCCAAATCAAATAATGTTTGAAAAATATATATATATATATACATATATATTTATTTTACGTTGTCCTCTACTCAGAAAGGGTGACCTTGAGAGCTCTTTGTCCAAACAGCCAATAGACACCAAAAGGATTTAGCATAACTGGTATACGTTATATTCACTGACCAAGGCTGTCTATTGAGAATTTGCTCTGTTTTGTTGGTGCAAGTCCAATTAATTTTTGTACAACATTGTCTTTGTTGACGATTGCAGATGCTTGCAGGATCTGGAGTGAGCACTGATATGTGGACAAGCTATGCTGCAAGGATAATGGCCACATCAATTAGCCCATTCATAATTGTGCAATTGCCAGCTGTTTCACACACAACTTCTCAAAGTCGAATTACAATTTTGATTGCACTCGTTGTTTCTTTCTTTGTTGTTGTCTTGTAGTCTTTATCAGGTTCATAAACCTAGATTTGTCATGGATTCTTAATATCTTGCTTTGCTTCCATAATCATGACCGTCTAATAACCTTGTCCTATTTCCAATCTTGGTTAGTCTTATGTTTACATTTTTATGTCTTTAAATAACATTTTTTTTCTTTCAGAAACCAAAAACTAAAATGTTTTTTTTTGTTATGAGAAAACCTTCACTTATCATTTGTTTTTTTTTTTT